GGCGGTGCTGGCTGGTATTCTCAACACACAGTCGAGGCTGATCGGCGCGTGCATGGCGGAGCTCGGCAGAATTCGCCATATCAACTTTGGCGGCGACAGGAGCATCGCGGGGGACGAGGAAAGCGGCGAGCTGGTTCCCATGCGGCCCAGCCAGGACGATGCCAGTGCTCCCAGCGCCGATGATGTTGAGCCGGACGTGTGAGACGACGCCAACGCTCGCCTCGTGGTTCAAGGGGATAAAATATTCTTCTTATTATGTCTCTCGGCACATCGTCTTGCCCCGAAACTTCTTTGGATACCATGTTGTCCACCGTTGACGAGAATAGGAGTGGATAAAGTGGACTTGATGATGGGATGCAAGACAGCACTGCTACTTGGGACATGTGGGGAAGAGGGGTGCCCACCGCAAATTTCGTAATGCTTGGACTGCCATGGCTGTCTGCTTTCCTCTCTGAATCTATAAACAATAGAAGGCTTCTGTTGGTGGTACTTTATGCTCATGTGTCGACTTCGAGTTGGCGCCAGTGCACGTATGTTGGTTAGCGGGATAGCAGGAACAAAACTGCCCCTCATGCCTGGAAGGGGATTCGTGCTGATGCAAGTATCGAGGTCTTTTTCTTGGCTTGGAGGATTGACGTTTGACATCATGCCTGAAAATACAGTGGGCTTCCCCCAAAAGATATAGTGGAGTTATTTTTATCTCTGTCCCTCTCCCGCACGTGCCCCACCATCCCCCACGCACGGGATGGGTGGGACCCGAACCGCCATTTCGGGAACGGTGTGAGCCGGAGATAACGGGAAACGGGGTCCGCCGGATGCCGCTAGTTTGGGTTGAGACTTCCTTGAAAGAAGCGTCGATTGGTAAATATCAACTAATTTTCGAGATAACGGCTTTGTGTCGGAATTTTGACCCCTTTTTCGCCTTCCCTTTGCGAGGGAAAATGTTCAAAAAAGAGTGAAAAAGAAGCACAGAAAAAACAGTTTCCACGAACCTAGTCGGGGGTTAGGGTTATTATTAGCTCCTTTTGCTGATGGTCGTGCCCCCATGACTTGGAACTTTCCTCTGTTTTGCAGCTGTTTTGCAGAGACATTTCTGTCGAGTTTAGGGCTAGTGGTAGCATGAAATAAGTATCAGTCCCTGGTTCGGCTGTCATGCTCTTGACAGGCCCCCACTGACCGGCTCGAGCCAGGATGTCACTCCTCTTGCCTGCTATTTTGTCTTGGTTATGTTTTGACCACTCGAGTTTGCGTCACACACAGTTCAAGAAGGGATTAGTTCGATATTTTATATGAAAGGCTTCATAAAATAATACTACTGAGCCGGACTCGTAGTAGCAGACATTCGGCCATCCCTCACATGGATATTTCGCCCATCGTCCATCTCATTGCCTTTGTGTTGTTTCCACACACACACCTGACGCACTGTGAGTCTCCCCAGTTCCTCCTCTTGCCATCCATCCAAGCCACCAGTTCCAAAGCTGTGTCACCAATTCTTTGTGCAACTCGAGAATCCATCGCAAACATATCCTCTTTGGTTCTGTCCTCCTCTTTAGGTCAACCTTTCCTCATTCCTCCCTATTCCCAAAACCCTGCGCTCCATGCTTTTCAATGTCTTTGACTTATCAAAGAACATTTTAAATCATCCCAGCGGCCCATATTGACCATCTCTAAGCCCAGCAGAACCCGCCACCATGCCAGACCCCATCTTAATAATCTTTTCGTGGGCTTTCTGGGGCGGCGCCATGCTTGCTGTGGTATGCCGCTTCGTGTCGCGCGCCCTCGATCATCGGCCTCCCTCGTCCTCCACAGTGCCATCGACTTCCTCCTCTTTGTCCTCCAAGAAGCCACTGTGGTATTTCAGCAAGCTTCAGATTGACGATTACCTGATGCTCCTCACGGCCATAACGCTCACTGGTCTCGTTCTCACGTCCAACCAGATCCCCGACAACGGCACCAACTATGTCCCGGCCGGGCTTACGGAGCCTTGGTCGTCTGCCGAAGTGGAACGGGCTCGATGGGGTAGCAAGATGCTCGTCGCGATGGAGGAGTTCATGTTGTCCACATTGTGGCTTGTCAAGGCTTGCTTGTTGATTCTGTATTTCCGAATAACGTGCGTCCTGTTTTCCTTGCTTGCTCGCTGGCCAGTCGGCATTTTTTGTTGTTCATCGAACCCCAGAACGTCACCCACCCCCATCCTCGACGACATCGATCCGTGCACTGCTCAAACCACTAACACATATCCATATCCATAGAGCCGGCCTGAAAGAAAGATTAGCAGTCAAGGTGACGGCCGTCTACTGCGCGATCGGCTTCATCGTGATCCAAATCCTGTATCTAGGCATCTGGTGCCAGCCAGTCAGCAACTACTGGGCGGTGCCCATCCCGGAAGATCAACGTGAGAGACCACCCCCGATCCCAAACCCGAACAAACCATGCCCAGTTCTGACTCTCTTCTGTCCAACAGCGGAATGCAAATCCTACCACCACCACATCGTCACCGTGACCGTCCTGCACGTCTCCTCCGATGCGGCCATGCTCTGTGTCGCTCTTCCTCCCATCATCCGCGCGCAGATGCCTCTCGGGCGCAAATTCGTCCTGTGCGGCGTGTTCGGACTCGGCGCCGTTGTCGTTGTCGTGGGGGTCCTGAACAGATATTACGATCTCGTCGAGCCGTACAGCAACAGCTTTTTGTACTGGTATAATGCCGAGGCGTCAACTGCTGTGATGGTTGCCAACGTGCCGCGCTGCTGGCCCTTGGTGCGTCGCCTGTTTTCGCTCACTCCATGGTCGACGAGTGGCACGGGAGACGGAGATGAGCGGTTGGGATCAGGGGCCGACGGTGAAGAGTTGCGACAAAGGGGAAATGCTGCTGTTAGTAAAGAGTCGCTGGTGGAAAGAGGAGGTAATCATCGCGGCGCGAATCCTGGGGCGAGGGAGAAGACGGGATCGTCGGCGAGTGTTAGGCACGTTGCCAGTCGCGAGGAAAAGGAGTGGGAGGAATTAAACGATGTGGAGGACGACGAGGAGTTTAGGAAGTACTGGGGGATACGGGATTTGGCATATTGAGAATGGAGAAAAAGGAATTGGGCTGAAAAGGGGGCTGTGATGAGAACTGGGCTGTGCGAATTTGGGTCACTCAAAGGTGCCACATGGCAGAGCTGGCTTGGGAGAGGGAAGGCGAAATGATTTGGAGTAAGATTGGGGGGTGGTGTATTGGCGGTTCGGAACAATTGGTGGGTGTTGTGGGAGAGTCATTTGGTTTGGATAACGAGGAGTCCTAGTCATTTTGCCGCGTTGAGAATTTTGCGTACAAGTTATTCGAATATCGCAATCTTAAGTCGTTGACAAATTTGCTCAAGACCATGGGCAGTTTCACAACGATGTCTTTTGGTGGCCTAATGGGTCGGGCAGCAGTGCTAGCTCCAATTCACCTAGCCCAACATGGAGTCACCGTGACGTAAACGCACCCTCTCAGTCCCTTCCCCAACTGATTTTTCCCCGTTCGCTCTTTCCTTTTGAGCAAGTCTGCCTGGCTTGTTTCACATTGTCACAGCACAAACAGACATCGGCTCACTCGCTTTCGGCCGAACCAACAACGCACGATGCTCGCGCAACCCCACCCCGCCGCCCACGGCGATATATTCATGCAACACGAACACGACCAATATGACGACTCCCAGTTGCAACTCGAGATCCACTTTGCTAGTCTTGGCCTGTCCGACGAAGCCCAGCCTCTCGGCGGGGAGATGATCGTTGCCAATGTCGCCTTTCCGTCGGGCGAGAATGTCGTGTTCCATCATTCTGGGTTCTTCAAGGGTCCACAACGTTTTCGGGATCAGTACGAGGAGGAGCCCGACCTGCCAATGCCCGATGCTGTCATGAGAGCAAATGCGGCTCAGTCCTCTGGCTGCGCAGGCCAATGGTCGCCCAGAAACCTGTTACTCAGTGAGCTCCTGGCGAGACACAACATGGAGTCGGGAGTGGCGGCAACAGTGAAATTTCCATGGCTGGGGTTGCAGGTCCGCTTTGGTCCGGCCGTATCAATCGCTGAGGCCAAGACCATGGTTCTCGTACGCAAGTTGCTGTCCCCAGCCGTGCCAGTGCCGGAGGTGTACGGATGGCGACGTGCCGGAGGGCAGAATTTCATTTACATGGAGCCGCCGGCGCCAGAAGGGGTCACACTTGCATCACGGTGGAGCACCATCAGCGAGGAAGATAGGCGGGCAATCTGCGGGGAGCTGCGAAACATGATTACGACTTGGCGGCGGTTGAAGCAGCCAGACGGAGTAAACGCGTTCATTGGTGGGTGGGCTGCTGGTTGAGTATGTGTACTGAGACTGACGACTGACTGCAAATAGGGAGCGTTGACTTTTCTCCTCTACGAGATGAAATCTTCGCATCTGAGAAGCAAACCGCACCGACAAGCCCAGGTCCGTTCCCAAACGTGGCGACGTTGCACAGCTGGATTGCTACCGCCATCGGAAGTTCTGCATCACTGGAGGGGAGAAATCACCCGGCCGAAGAGCTCATCTGTCATGTGCAACAAAGAGATGCCGTTGACTCCGCTCCCATCATGTTTACGCATGCGAACCTCCACCCAGGCAGCGTCATGGTGTCACCTGCACCCAGTCGGCCGCGTGTGCTCTCCATTCTTGACTGGGACCAAGCCGGTTGGTATCCTGTGTACTGGGAGCACGCCAAGGCGCTCTGGGCGGCCTCGTCTCCAGAGCGAGAGGGGTGGGATGCAAGGTATTTGTCTCGAGTTTTTGAGGGGATTTGATGTGGATTGGGGCTGTATTATCGTTCTTGCCTCTCAAGTTAAGTTATATGATATATTAGTTGAAACAAGGAAGGAAGGGGTACTTCAAGAAGCAATGCTTTACCATGTCATACATTGTGAATGTTAGTGTGCAAGACCAATGGCCAAAGAATGTCTTGAGGAGAATTGAAAAGTCCAATGCTACAAGGAAAGGGATGGATGTGTGCAGAAAAAAAAAAGTTGGATATACCGCGGATCGAACGCGGGACCGTCTGTATGAGCAATGTACTCGAGGCAATGCAAAACAGAAATCATACCACTAGACCATATACCCAGGTAATTGGTTGACAGGAATCTCGGGAGAGGGGTACAAGGGGGAGAAACGAGCCGAGCCAGCCAATCGGCTTGGGGTGGAGTGATGGTGATGTAATCTTGGTGGTGTGGAGTTCGGGGGCTCTCAAGACACCAGAAGTCGTTGTCGGGCTCACACTTCTTGACATACCAGTAATTTTCTCCGTTGGACAGAGCAATACGCCTTTGCACAGCATTCTATCTTGCTGTTGCTGGTCTTTGGTAGTAACAAAATCGCTCGCAGCTTGTGCTCATGTTTGGACGTATCACGTGAGCCACTTGTTTGTTTCAGGGGCCAAACCCTAGCATTAACCGCCAACATCAGCTCACATTTTGACGTTGGCTGCTGGGCTGGAACATGCGCTTTTGCTATTTCTGGCTTCTTTCACGCAACGAACTTCGCTCGATTCTCGTTAGTGGAAAAATTTCATGTTGAGCGGAGCCTCAATTGTAAAATGAGGCATTGTCCGTACATCCGATCCGTCACCCACCAGCTGCAACCATGTGGAGCCGATCTTTCTCTCGACCGAGTATTTAAATGAAACTCACTAGCCACCATCGACTTTGACCATTCCAGACGGCAAGCGCCAGCACATCTGAGCTCCCGTTCGACAGAGCCACGGATGCTGTGAACCTGACACAGGGCGCTTACCTGGTCGAGTTCGACAAGACGGTTGGCATCCCGTTGGACTTCATGAGCTAGGTGTTCGTGCGGTCGTCCTTGTGGCGGTCTGGCGCGGTAGTTACGGCCGGAGTGGTGGATGCGGGCTACAAGAGTGCCCTGGGCGCTTACTTGGACATCAAGAATCCTGCGTGGATTGTGCTGTGCAGGAATGCAAAGCTCGGTCAGATCACGCAGCACAACTTGAACGAGAAGGTCGATGGGCATCACGGCATATACCAGTTTGCAGAAAACAGTGTTGAACTGGATGGGCCCAGTGGATTTGTTGGTCTATCGGGCAAACAAACGACCAAACCCTCGCAAGGAAGTCAGGAATAAGTTACGAGGGTGCGGTGCACATGTTTGAGCTTTGGCCAGCAGTGAGCAGTACAGGCGGGATTTATCTCAACCGAATCTCCCAGGCTTAATTGGACCCTTGGATGTCTCATTTTGACTGTCTCAAAATCCTAGAACTTGAAGGGCATTGCCACCGCATGTTTTGGAAATCCAGGAGGCTGTATCTAACCTCCTAAACATGTGTCAGCTCGTCGTTAGCATGAATCTGATATGAAGGTTGTGATTTGCTACAGGCGGCTGTTCACTCATCTTGCTAGCCCCGAGAGAACACTTTCTCCTCTTCCCTCCAATGCGTCTTTAGCAGCAGTCGGACGTGCCCAGAAAACCTTTCCCGTAACCTTCCTCATGGTTCCTATTTAAGTGAAGACTGCCAGAACGAGCCCTACAACACAAGACATTCTATTCTGATACGTCATGCCTCGAACAGCATGTGGTAGCGGTCTTCCTTGCCGCCACTACAACTCAGAATTGCGACGATGGAGGAAGTCACGAGAACCCTGTCGCGGCCATGATGGGCTAAGCAGCGCTGCGCCCCCGAACACGGTAAGTAATACGCTTGCATAGCATACTATTGGCAGTCACTTCTAAAAAATAAGCAGTCGGAGACAAAAATCAAAACGAAGAATCTGTGCCCAGAATGCAGAAGCCTCATCGTGCCATTTCGTGAGAGCTGCTCCAACTTAGCAAAGTTGATATTTGACCCAGTACCATTACTTGTGGCAATCTCAGGAGGTACAGGCACGATATCTGATCGGGGATCAAGGGAAGTGACGGAGTGCAGTACAGACGATGAGATGGATGAATAGCTGAACGAACAGCTAGACGGCGATCATTTGAGCGATGCCAGTTTGGAGCTTTGGAGAGGCCACGACAACCCGTCCTTTAGCGATACCCCAAATGATATTGTGCGAACAGAGTTTAGCAGCTGGGAAACTTACGACGAGACTGAATCGGAAGGAGATGGCAGTGCTGGACCAGTATGGAGGCCCATCTCTTATGAGAGGAAACGGCGTCCAAAGTTCGACTACTTTGAGGCACTCTGTCGACAAACGTGCCCAACCTGCACCGTCACATCCGGCCAGGCATTGAGAATACCCTTCGTCTTCTCAAAATATAGGTATTCCTAACGTATCCGGGGGCTCCAGTATCCACATCCTTACCCGCATCAATCAGCACTGCCGAGTATTTAAATACCGTGAACCAGTGGCTCAACAACTGCCTTGCGAATCATTAGAGTTGCCGGAGCTCTCCCCTGAACGCCAACCCCACGCGGCTTATCCACATAGCTCCCGAAAAAGTCCGATTGCTTTGCTTCAGCGAGCTTGATGCGGCTGTACGTTACGCAACCCTGAGCCACTGCCGGGGAAAGAGCCGACCTCCTAAGTCGAAGCGGGAAAATCTTGAACAGTTCTAAGGCTAGATACCAAAGGATTACTTGTCTAGAGCATTTATGGACGCAATCAGTGCAACGTCACCACTAGGGTTGGAATATATCTGGATCGACTGCTTGTGCATCATTCAAGATGACTCCGATGACTGGTGTGCAAGAACTTTCCCAACATATTTACGTCTCTCCAAGCTATCTTCTGCTTTTTGTTCGCCACGTTTCGCTCTACGTTACCGCGCAAAGAAAAATAACATTGCCAATAGGCTTCGTGAATCATCCAAGATCAGCAAAGTCTACGGCGGCTCAGTGGTTACCATTTCCGCCTCGGGCGCTACGGATGGCAGCGTTGGCTGTTTTCTCGACCTTCAGCTAATCTTGCATGTATCTCGGGCGAGCAAGCAGCAATTTCCCGTTCCAGACGAGTATATTGCCCCTTCTTGGTCCTGGGCATCCACAAACGGACCGATATCCCCAGTTCGGCTACGCAAAAAACTCCACGGCGAACTCTACCCCCTATTCGAGTTTCCCTTTGCGCGCAAAGCGACAAGGCATATTCGAGTATGGGATGCATACACCATCCCAGAGGATCCGAAACAACCTTTTGGGCCGGTCAGCGGTGGGTGTTTGCGACTTGCATTTCAAGAAGGCGACATGGCACTCTTCAAGGGAGATCAAAAAGATCAACGACGGACCGTGACTTGGATGCCAGTTATTCTCCTTCTGCTATCTTGGACGAGCCGTTACAAATCAACTGTAATGCCTCTTTTTATCTTTTGAGGATACTTACCAGCCCCACATCACCCGAGTCGCTAGCTGGTGATGCATATGGGATCGTCCTGAAAAGGCTCCTGATTGCGGGAGAGGGGTGTTTTGCCGTGTCGGGTATTTCAGCTACGGCTACAATATGGAAGTTACCGAGCGAACCAAGTGGGATGATACAGTCAACCCGGTTGTATACGAGACATACTATGGAGGTAAAACGTGTGTAGTTAGTATCATTTAACGGGACTGGCCAACTTGCGTTTTCCCATTTCAAGCCCGCCACCCTTGTACACTCGGTTTCAAAATCGGAAAAGCAGATGTCTCCGTCAAATAATTCGCGATCACTCGGAGTCTAGCGGTCAACAAACCGCCGGTATCTTCCGACTTGCTGCTGGATGCAAGCCACCGTTGCCCGGGACCGTAGCTGAAGTTGAAACCATTGGCCCCCATGGTTGAGAGGAACCCGACACTATAGGTTGACGGAATTGAGAGAGGTTGCGGGACGGTGGTGGACCCATTGGCTGGGCACGCATTGAGGCCTGCGCAAGACAGCCGAGACGACCACCGTCCCGTCACAAACCTATTTGATGTGCACCGCCCTTGGTCGCTCGGTGATGACCTACTTATGCAAAGTGAGCAACGCCCCGCCCGTAGCTAGAGGCCCACGTTCAGGTACGTCGGAGCTCCTGCTCCGGGGATTGTGTCTCCTGGCCATCGGAGTAGCGAGGCCGGATAGTACCCTGGGGCGAATGGAGGGACAGGAGACGAGGTCATGCAGCCCGCCCATGCGCGGCTCGTCGGGAGGGACAACTCGGCGGTGAAGTAGGCTGTCTTGACTGTGATGATGCTCAGTCGTGTGATGGGAGGTTGGTGATGGTGGGTGCGAAGAAGTGGTGCTGCTGGAGCGGGGTCGAGGTGATGGTGGTCTCGACGGAATGATCTCTTGTTCTAGACCCCGCTGTATCCGGCATGGCATATGAGGCCATCAAAGCTGTCTTTGACCGTTTTTACCTAATGGCAGCAGAGCGAGAGCGGGGTCGTTGTTACAACTCCTCCCCGTGGAGAGCTGAAACCCCAGGCGCTTACCCAGATCCAGACACTGTATAAGCCACTCGTGTTACACGACAACAGATAGCTCGATGGAATGCACATCACAGCCGCTTCTAGATTCCGGCGAGGAGCGGTGTTTGCCGTGGAAAAAGGCCTGACCGGAGTCACCAGGCCATCAATTGCAGGTCGGGCTGAATTGGGCATCGCCCATTGGGTAAAGGCTACAAGCGGACTGTCCTAAGGCTGGCTGAGACTCGCCAATCCGGAGGGAGACTCGGACTGTCCTGAGGCTGGCTGAGGAGACTCGCCATCTCGGAGGCTCGGACCCAAATGCAAGACATGTGTCGTATGGGCGAAGGAGCAGCATGTTTTTACTCGGACGTGTTGAGCACCAAGCATAAAGAAAGGCATGGGATTCCAAAGCAGATTCCACCTTTGGCTACGCCGCTCGTTCTCATGAAAACTGGCATTGCAAATTCCCTCTCTCCCGTCCAAGCACAGCAGTCCATCATGGCGCCCCCAAGCTCGCTCAACCCCGCAGCCCCTTTCTATGGCATCACCGGCATCCAGACCGGTTTGGACGCCAACGCGAAGGAGGACGCCCTGCGCAAAGTGCCTGCGCGTATGGAACTCGACGACTGGTTTCTGTCCAAGAACGTGGTTCACCAGAACCAGCGATCCCTGTTCTTCCCCGCCTTCCTCAAGTTTTGCGAGGAGGACCCCAACGGCAAGGCTGGCAAGTTCTCTTTCTTCCAGATTGCCGGCA